GCATCACTCTGGGTGGGGAGAAGCCGGTGGTGGCACCTTGCAGGGCTGCTCACAGGTCCAGTCAAAGAGGCGCAGGAACGGGGAGGGTGTCTCCAGTCTCCTGCTCTGCAAGCCGGGCAAAAGCTAGACCAGGTGGAAGAACAGATACGTCGGAATGGCGGTGCCGGGGCAGCGCACTGAGTGCTCACGGATGCTGGAAAGTCACCAGCCCTGCCCTGGAAGAAGCACAGCCATGATGCGCCCCAGAAGAGAAGATGGGGAGCCTTGACCTCATGCACTGTGGACATGTTGTCAGGGGAGGCCGGTCCCCGGAGAAGGACACCGGGCTTGCTAAAGTCGTCGTTGTTAGGGGCTATCCAGTCGGTGCCAACCCGTGGCGACCCAATGTACAAGCGAACATAATGCCACCCGGTTGTGCGCCACTGTGGTAATGGCTGTGTGTGAGCCACTGTTGCAGCCACTGTGACAGTGTAGCTCCTGGAGGCCTTCCCCTCTTTCTCTGCCCCCTTTTTGACCTGGCACGTTGAGCACACGCCCACAGCCGGTGAGGTAAAGTCTCGCCGCCCTTGCCTCTAAGGAACATTCTGACCATCCTCCTTCCAAGACAGATCTCTTTGTTCTTTGGGCAGCTCGTGGTGTTTTCCACCTTCGTGGCCGGCACCGTCATTCGAATACATTCCTTCTTTAGTTCTCTTTACTCGGTGTCCAACGTCTGTATGCACACGATGCGATTGGACATACGACGGCTTGGGTCAGGCCCACCCCAGTCCTTGCCGTAATAGCCTCCTTTCTCAACACTGTAACGAAAGCGGTCTTGTGCAAACAGATCTACCCACTGTAGTGTGTCCTTTGATCTTTTGCGGCTCTTCCACGAGCGTTGGTTGAGGATCCAAGTCAGATGTTACCTGTGGGTCCAGGTGTGAGGACTTTGGTCTTGACCTGGAGTCGTCATCCACACTGACGGCTGCGATCCTTGATCTTCACCAGCACGTGCTTCAAGTCCTCCTCGCTGTCAGGAAGTGAGCTTCTGTCTTCTGCATTTTGGAGATTATTAAAAGGCTTCCTCTAATCCTGATGCCTCACCCTTCATATAAACCAGCGTCTCTGAGGATTTGCTCGGCAT